TGCCCTGCCCCGGGGTCACTGCGTGCGGCCGCAGGAGCCGCTGCGAGGCTTCTCCTGGGTGGCCGGCGGGGCGCCGGGCAACTTCTCGGAGTGGGCATCTGAGCCGGCGGTCACCTGCGTGAGCGCCCGCTGTGTCGCCCTGCGGCCACCCGGCCCGCACGGCCCCGGCGGCTGGGCGGACCGCGCCTGCCGCAGCACGCTCCCGGCTTTCCTCTGCAAGTTCAGCTTCCAGGGCATGTGCGGGCTCCTGCCGCTGGCCGGCCGCGGCGCGGTCACCTACACCGCCCCGTTCGGTGTGCGCAGCGCCCGCCTGGCCGCCGCTCCCTTCGGGACGCTGGCCGAGGTGGAGTGCGACGGCGGCCGGGCTTCGGCCTTCGCCGTCTGCAAGGGGCCGCTAGACGGGGGTGGCTTCGCCTGGCACCCGCCGGGTCCCCTGTGCCCGGTCAACTGCGGCAGCCACAACGGCGGCTGCCAGCAGCTCTGCCTGGATGTGCCCGGCGAGTCCCCGCGCTGCGCCTGCCGACCCGGCTACGTGCTGGCCGCCGACATGGCCTCCTGCGTTCCCGAGGATTCCTGCCATCCCAATCCCTGCCAGGGATCCTGCCGGGCACTGCCCGGCGGCTTCGAGTGCGGCTGCGAGCCCGGCTACGCCCTGGCAGCCGACGGCCGCGGGTGCTCGGATGTGGACGAGTGCGAGTCGGGGCCGTGCCAGCACCAGTGCCACAACTTTCCCGGCGGCTTCCAGTGCCACTGCCGGCCCGGGTACAGCCCCGCGGGGCCCGCTGGCCACCACTGCCACGACGTGGATGAGTGTGCCCAGCCCCACGCGTGCCCGCAGCTCTGCATCAATATTCCCGGCTCTTTTCGCTGCACCTGCCGGCCCGGCTTCCAGCGGCAGTCGGGAGGAGAGTCCTGCCTGGATGTGGATGAATGCCTGCGGGATCCGTGTCCCGGCGCCTGCCGCAACTTCCCCGGCGGCTACGAGTGCCTGTGCCCGCCTGGCTCCCTCCGGGACGCCGATGGCCACGGCTGCAGCCCCGGAGACGCGATGCCAAACAGTATCCCACAGAGCTCCGGCATCCCGCAGAGCGCCAGCAGCATCCCACAGAGCTCCACCGTCATCCTAGAAAGCTCCAGCATCCCACAGAGCTCCGGCATCCCACGCACCGCGGGCACCCCGTGGACCACGAGCATCCCTCGTACTCTGGGAATGCCCACCGCGGGACTGGGAGTCGGCTCGGACGAGCACAGCGCCGACGGCCCGCGGCTGCTGCTCTATTACATCGTAGGCAGCCTGGTGGCCATCCTGCTCCTGCTGGCGCTCGCCCTGGCGCTCGTGGCTTGCAGGAAAAGGGCGGCCAAAAGGGAGAAGCCACCGGCCAAAAACGCGGCCGATAATTATTGCTGGGTGCCCGAGCAGCCCGAGAGCCGCGGGGAGCGCAGGTAGGAGTGGGTTAAAGATCCCAATAAAAGGGTGGGAGGGAATCCTTTGTGCCCAAAGTGAGCTCCTCTGGCTGTTCCAGTGGGATTTACAGTCCTGCTGCTCCAAGGGTTAACGAGAGGGGAGAGGGAATGGGGTGGAATTTGTCTCCTCAGCTGTGTTCCAAAAGGCAAATTCGGAATTATGGGATCATGTTCCTAAAGGGAAACTTCTCACTTGGAATTCTCCTGCAGCCCCTTGTGCACTGCTCCCTCTGGATTTGCCTCGTTCACCTTGAAAAGGGTTTGAAATTGGGATGTGCCTCAGCAGAGCTCGAGCAGGCCCCTGCAGGCACAACCAGGGTGGGGTTTAAGGGTTACTTTTTTAAGGATCTTATTAAAAATCTGTTGCCTGAAACCAGGGAAAACTGCTTATCACAGAGCCAAGGAATTTCATAAAGGTAGGAAAAGCTGTGTTTGGAACAACCACGTCCTCATATCCTGAGTGTCCTGCCTAAATCAACTTCTAAACAGAGAAAACAATGCTCTCCTTCCCATCAGCCACATGGGAGGCTGGGCTTTTCCTGTTGTATCTTTTTTTTGGGGGGGGAAAGTCCTTCCTGGCTCTAGGCTGAGTGTGTTTTCCCTCTTTCCCCGTGTAAGGAACATGCTGGAATTGGAATATTTGCTGATTATTCAGTGTAAAACTTGTAACTCCCAAAAAAATCTCTGGGCCAAGTTGCTCCCCAGGTACTTCCCAAAATTCCTTGAGCCTCTTGCAGTCTTTCCAGTGGGAATTCTCCTCAAAATCCTGAGGGGCACATACAGCATCACCTCCTTCATAGTTTATCCATGCTATGAAGGGCTGGAAAAGATCAGCCACAGGATTTGAAGGGTCCAGCAGCTTCTTGAAGTTTCTGTTTGAGTTATTGTGTCCCTGGAGCTGAATTGCTCCAGGAATGAGAATGGAACACAAAGGAGTTTGCAGTGGGTAGGGAGCTGCATCCTGTCATTCCATGTGCTGAGGAAAACCCTTTCCTGCTTTTTTCTTGTCTTGGGTCCCCATTGTGAGCTGCAAACAGGAAAATTGAGCTGATATGAATGTTTTCCATGCGCTGCCTAGGTTGGGAGAACGTGGGGGAATTCAGCAGCAGAATTCTTGGAAATCCTGCCAAAAATTCCCAAATCCCAAGCCAGCATAGCATTGGGAATAGCTGGATCAATGAAGGAAATCCCATGCAATTATGCTGGATTGGGATCTTTGGGAAGTGACAACCTTGGGGTTTTTTATGGGATATAAGGCTATAAAAAAGGGAAAGGAAGGGTGAGGGTGGAATCATAGCTGGGAAGAACCTGAAGTGTGCTGCTTATTCCCAAAAAATCATAATCCTGATTTCTGATGCAACTTCTATGTATTCCATTGGGGAATGATGATGGATCTAGGGGAAGACAGGAATTTGTGCCAAGGGTTTAGGTTGGATTCTTCCTAACGGAATATTTCCTGCTGTAGCATCCTTCCTCCCTGGTGCAATTCCACCTGGATTCAATCTTATGTCTCATTTTTCCTGGCACATCTTGATCTGTGGCCTCCTTAGGGAATTGTCCAGGTACTGGTGAATCCCACAAGTTGGAGCAGGATAATTTGGTGCCCTGTCTTCCAGAGGAGATGGGATGTTCATCCTGCTCCTTGGATTTTTTTGTAATGGATGAGTGTTTTGCTTTGCCAGAATGAAACTCTTGGATTTACAGCATAAAGTTATCCCAACACTGCTCTCCAGATGGAATTCCAAGAAAACTTGAACAAAAATGTGTTTCTAGTGGGTTTTAATAAAGATATTCCTAAAAATCCATGGTCTGGTGCTCCTAATCCTTGTCTTCCCTACAGTTGGTGGGTGGTGATCCCAAATCCTTTCCTAGGGCTTATTCCATGATCTCAGCCTTTCCCAGGATCTGTGGTCCTGGGCAGGGGCCATTCCCTTCATCTCCGCTGAGGCCATGGGGTGGGCTGTGTTGGATCCCAATAGCACAAGGAAAGTCCTAAATCCATGAGGAAGGTCCTAAACCTATAAAAAAAGTCACCAAGCCACAGGCAAAGCGCTAAATCCATGAGCAGGGTCCCAAATCCACAAGCAAGGCCCTAAACGCAGGTGGAAGGGTCCAAGTCCATGAGCAAGATCCTAATCCTATGACCAAGTTCCTGAAACCACAAGGAAAGTCCATGAGAAAAGACCTCAACCCACGGGCAAGGTCCTAAGACCATGACCAAATTCCTAAAACCATGAACAAGGCCCCAGTCCTATGACCATGTTCTCAATCCCACAGCCAAGGTCCTGATTCCATGGCCAAGGTCCCAGCCCAACAACCAAAGTTCCAATCCCATGACCAAGGCCCTAATCCCATGAGCAACATTCCAAATCCATGAGCAATCCCTTTGATTTCAGTGCTGCTCTGCGTGAGGTTCTTTTCGGGATCGACTGATAGGATAGACTGCTTTTAGATCCTATTATCCCATGATATTTCATATTATTTTACATTCCATTGCTTTCCATTCCCTCATGGACAACTGCCAGCATTCCAACAGAGCAACCTCATCCCAAAACCCTTCAAAGAAGCCAAAAACTCCCCCCTGTTGACACAAACTCCCAGATTTGGGGGTCAGGACAAACACTCCAAGTGCCCGCTTGAGCAGAGTGACAGGGACAGCCCGGATGAGTCAAAGCCAAGGGGAAAGGCAGGAGAAACATGATTAATGGGACTGGGGAAGAGGAAGAGCAGCCTGTCAGCAGGCAGGGCAGTGCTGGCACCCTGACTCAGCCGCTGGAGCAGTGGGATAAAAGGAATTAAGAAACCGTGATTAATCCCATTCCTCCCACCCCATCTCGATTATCTTTTAGGGACAAACGTCAGTCGGGCAAGACCAGTGAGGTGGGATCATTGTTTGGGAAGGCTCTGTTTTTTTCCTGGACAAAACCTTGACAAGGAATTTTTTATCTGGGTTTGCAGTTACTGAAAAAAAAAATAAAACAGCCGGAGCAGAAATGTATTGTTTTGGGTTTTTTTCCATCTCCACTACACTCTCCTTTCCTTCTTTTCCTGTGGTTTGCCGGGATGTTTTTCCCCTTCTCTTGGTAGTTTTCTCCAGAGAACAGACGCAGAAGTAAAAGGAGAAGTGGAAGAAGAATTGGAAATAGTGAAATGAAAATTGTGGGAACAACAGGTGTTCCTAAAGTCAGTAAAGGTCAGAGTTATCCAGCTCTCCAGGAGATTCCTGGGAATGATCCTGCTTGGATAAATTCTTTGTTTCAAGCTCTCCCATGGACACTTTCTCCTTGAGGTTCATCACTGCTGCTGGAATTAAATTCTATAGACATTTCTTTTCTGTTTTCGTGGCAGATCCAAAATGTCCAATGGGGTTAAATAAGAGTTAATTATTGATTATTCATTATTATTATTATTACTATTATTATTCCAAACTTCTTTTTTTTTTCCCAAAATCCCACAGGGTTTTGTGGGAAGGACTCAGGGTTGTGAGAGGACAAAACAAACACCAAGGGTTTAAGAAAGGACAAAGTTCAATAAAGTTCACTAAAGTTTACTAAAGTTTAATAAAGAAACCTCCTTTCTTTGATCCGAGGAAATTGGGATTTGCTGCTTATCCCAAAGGACAATTGCAGTGCCCGAGGCTGTTGGAATTCCATGAAAAAACGGCATCAAATCCCTTTTTTTTGTGGAATTGAGAAGCCTGGGACATTTAGGTTGCATTTTTAGGTTGCTCTTGGCTCTGTTCTGGCAGCACAGAGGGATCCCCCAAGGACAAACAGATGGAATGGGATATCCATTCTGAGGTGTCTGTGGGGAATAGGGGAGATGGGGAGAAGGGTCATAATATTGCTTTTAATAACAATAATACCAAATAGTAGAACTGTATAAGTTATATAACTCTAGATGGAAATACATAATTATATGCTAATTTTTTATTAAAGAAGTTTTCCCTAATCAAACGTAAACAGTTTTCCTTCATCCCATTCCTTATTCCCTGGGAGCAGATCCCAAGCCCACCTGACTCCACCATCCTGTCAGGGATTGCGGAGAGGGAAAAGCTTTCCTCTAGAGCCTCCTTTTCCTCAGGCTGAGACCGTTTCCTAGCTCCTTCCCGGTGCTCCAGCCCCTTCCTGGCTCCATTCCCACCTCTGGACACGGTCCAACTCCTCTTCTTTCCACTCTGGATGCAGAGCTGCACGCAGGATTTGAGCTGTGACCTCCGCAGTGCTGGCCCTGTGGCAGCAGCTGAGTGACATCCCAGTGGCACGAAGACCCCAGCGGGGTGACAATTCCCAGCGGCGCTGCTTCCACGCCGAGGCCCCCTCCTGTGAAATCTCCGCGCCGCTTCCCCCCTTTCCCAGGGCTCAGCCCGTGTTCCCCGGCACTCGCGGGACGCCCCGGCCGCTGCCGGCCGCTCCCCGCGCAGCCGGGCGGGCCCCGCCGGGGCGGAGCCGCCGGGAGGATGCGGGAGGGGACCCAGGGCCACGGGGCGGGGGCGGGGGCAGCGCCCGGCCGGGATTCACCGCCGCGGTCGCTCCCGGCCCCGGGGGCGCTTCCTTCCCCCGCCGGGGCCGCTATAAAGGGGGCGGCCGGGAGGAGCGGCCCATGCTCAGCTCGGGGCGCCGCCGGCCGCCCCCTCCGCGGGCCATGCGGCCTCTGCTGCCGCTGCTGCTGCTCGGGACGGCGGCTCTGGCACAGCCGCCGGACCCGTCCCCCGCGGGCACGCAGTGCCTGGAGCACGAGTGTTTCGCCGTGTTCTGGGCGTCCCGGCCCTTCTCCGACGCCAGCGAGAGCTGCGAGCGGGGCGGGGGACACCTCATGACCGTGCGCTCCACCGTGGCCGAGGAGGCGATCGCGCTGCTGCTTCAGAACCGCAAGGGGCGGCTCTGGCTCGGGCTGTCGCTGTCGCCCTCCTTGTCCTGCACCGAGCCCAGCCGGCTGCTCCGCGGTTTCCGCTGGGTCACCGGCGACCACAGCACCGATTACACCAACTGGGCGCTGCCGGGGCAGCGCTGCGGCGAGCGCTGCGTGACCGTGTCCCGGGAGCTGGGCTGGGAGGAGCGGCGCTGCGAGGAGCCGGCAGACGGCTTCCTCTGCCAGTACACCTACGGAGGCAGCTGTCCTCACCTGGCCTCCCAGCGCGCCGTCCCTGTCACCTACGCCACCCCCTTCGGCGCCCGCGGAGCGGACTTCCAGGCACTGCCTCCGCGCAGCGTGGCGTTCGTCCCTGACCTCGGGCTGGAGCTGCGCTGCGAGGATGGGGACGACGCGGGGCCGCGCTGGGGCCGCGACACCCCGGGAGCGTGGCCCTGCGAGCTGGGCGGCGGTGGCTGCGCGGGGACGTGCGCGGAGGAGAGCGGGCGGCCGCGCTGCTCCTGCCCCGAGGGCACGGTGCTGGGCCCGGACGGGCGCGGGTGCCGCTCGCCCTGTGAGGGGGCGCAGTGCCAGCATCACTGCGTGGTGGCCGGCGGCTCCTTCTTGTGCATGTGCGCCGTCGGGTACCGGCTGGCGGCCGATGGCATCAGCTGCGAGGACGTCGACGACTGCACCAGCGAGCCCGGCCCGTGCGAGCAGAAGTGCCTGAACACCCAGGGTGGCTTCGAGTGCCAGTGTCACAGCGGCTACAGGATGGTGAACGGGCACTGCCAGCGCCTGCCGCCCTGCTGGGAGGCGCCGTGCCAGCAGCGCTGCGAGGAGCTGCCCGACGGCTACCGCTGCGGCTGCTTCCCCGGCTACGCCGTGGACCCGCGGGATGCCACCCTCTGCCGCCTGCACTGCAACGCCACCGAGTGCCCCGCCGTGTGCGACGCCGAAGGGGCCTGCGAGTGTCCCGAGGGCTTCCTGCTGGACGGCGACGATCTGTGCGTGGACATGGATGAGTGCGACAGTGGTCACTGCGAGTTCAACTGCACCAACACCCCCGGCGGCTACCAGTGCCACTGTCCCCCCGGCTACTACCTCCTCGGCCTCGACTGCAAACTGGACGGGGATGGCGAGGAAGCGTCCTCGGGGGATTTGGAGCCCGAACTGCATGACCCCGTCCCCAGCCGGCCCCCGCCGAAAGAGGAGCAGCTGCACCCCGGGGTGCTGGTGGGCATCGCGGTGAGTGCCCTTCTGAGCCTCCTGGCCCTGCTGGCTCTGGGATTCTGCCTGGCCAGGAAGCGCTGTCGTTCCCACGGCTCTATGGATTACAAGTACAGCGGCCCCCACGAGAAGGAGCTGGGGCTTCAGCCCGTCCCCTCGGCACAGAAGCCGTAGGGACATCCGTCGGACGGACATTGGGAGGCCGAACGGGGTGACATTTAACCTCCGCCACCCGCCCCTTCCCAGCTGCCCGGCTGGAATTTTTGAATGATAATTGGGGAAAAGCTGTGATCGCACCACTCCCAGAAATACTCGCTGCTTCCCAGCCGGCTTTTGGAATGCTAGTGCCGGAGAGCGGGGACAGCAGAACACCCAGAACCTGCTCCGCTCCTGCTCCGTTCCTGCTTCTTTGGCATTCAGCTTTCCTTTTCCCGAGTGGGCGGTCGGGAAAACCGCAAGGAAAAACCCAGGAGGGACGACTCCGTGTGTAAGTGACTCTAAATCCGTGGGATGAGAGCACGGTGTGACCAAGACGGGGACTTTTGAAAGGACACCTCAACCCAAATCCTCCTCCCTCGGGCTGGATGGTTTTCCCGAACTGGGAGGCTCCTGCTTTTCTTTGGGATGGGGTTTGTTTGTTTTAAGATGAGGGAATGAGGAGCAAAGATGTTGTGGGAAGCACTTGTCACCTTAAGCCACTGGTGAGAGCAGGCTCGATGTCACCAAGGGGGGACTCAACTTCCTGATTCCCATTCCGTCTCCTTATTTTTTGCGGGATGTGGAGGTTAAACAGGGACACATAGGCTGTCGGGATGGGTTTGGTAGGAAAGGTTTGCAGTGCTGCAGAGCCACATCCAGTTCCTTCCATGACTTTCCACCGTTGTTGCCTTAAATTGTTGGATTTGGGATATTTTTACGACCCCTCCCACCCAAAGAGATTTTCCCTGTTCCCTCGTGCAGGGCTGACTCTATCCCAAAGTAAAACATTCCCAGGGGGCGGGATCCAGAGTGCCGCTCATTCCCAGCCACGGACTGGGTGGGAGTTCTGAGAGGGATCTAATTTTCCAGCTCCATCCTTCCCTGGGGAGCCAAAGAGGGTCCTGTTCTGGCTGCCGTTGGATCGGGAACGTCAGAGCACGTGCTGGCAGCTTTATGCTGGTGAAGTATTATCCCAGAGTGGTGAAAGTTTTGGAAGCCTGGGATCAGAACTGGGGAGTTCTGTTCCCCAGCACTCCCCCCTCCCACCCTATGAACTTCCCAGCACGCATCTCCCCTGGAATGCTAAACCTCCGCTGCAAATTCCCAGGAAAATCAAAATGAGGCATTTGTAGGAATCGTGGTTTTCCTAAAAGGTCGTTATCCTGAAGGCTGGAAAACTGAGGATCCTGTGCATGGATCTCTTGGGGTGGATTAAAGTGAAACCACATGGAGTGAGGGCTGTAAATCTGTGGATGTGCCAGGTTTATTTTAGGACAGTTTGGCTGCAGTGGGAAGGAGGGAGCTGTTGTGATTACCCATAATTATCCGTGATTATCCAGAAAGAGATATCGAAATATAAAGGTGTCACTGTGGAAAATATCCAAGGAAAAGGAAGGGAAAGAAAGGATAAGGTTTGAGTGTGGAAAGACTTTGCTGAGGCATCATTTCACCTGCAGAATCTGCTTCCCATGGATCTTTCCTTGTTATCCAGCTCAAACCTCTGCTCATTCCTGGGTGGATCCGAGGTTTTGCCACCACATCCCCAAAATCTCCTCCTTCCCCTGACCTCAAATTCCCACTGCGGAGTTTTATCTTATCACAAATTCCTTCCTTACTGTGTGTCAGAGAACTGAATTCCTGGCACTCCCTGTTTTAGCCTTTCCCGGCCCCACCTGCTCCTCCCAGGCCCTTTTGTAAATCCTTATTTATTTATTGGAATTTTACCCTGTGTGATGGATTGCCTCATGGAGATCCTGTGTGGACACCAATAAAGTTTTGCCAATCTGGTTTAGACTAACTGCTCAGGGACTGTTCTTTCTCCTCTTCCCAAAAATTCCTCCAGAAATCCAGAAAAACCCAGGAGCATTCAGGGCAGCACAGGGATGAAAACGTTCCTGGCTGGTTACTTCCGTGGTGGGATTAAATGGAAGGAGTGGGCCATAAATAATGGACAACACCAATACTATTCCAAGGACAAAGTTAAACCCCAAATAAGCTGGAAGTGGCTCACTCCATGGGACCTCCATGTGCTGTTCCTCACCCTGGGGTTCCAAGCTCACCAAAATTTGGTTGTCCAGGCTTTTGGTTTTTGTATTTTTTGGTGGAAATTTTGTCCTGGGTGTGCTAAAATCTTGAGATTTTTGGGGAGGGAGGTGTGTATGGTAGGATCTCATTCTGCTGTAGATGCAGTAGAGCTGACGGGCTTTGGGATTTTTTCTGGTGTCTCCTCGTCTCTTGGGAAGAAATGGGAATTTATTATTTATTAATCAGGAGGGCCATGTGCTCCATAACATTTTGGGATTCTCCCAATCCCCAGTGAAGGCTGCTAGATGCTGGAATAATGGCAATTACCACTCCATCCATGGAACTTGCTCCATCCCAGGCCAGTCTTATGGCTTTTTATTTTGGAGAGCAGCACAGCGCAACCAGTAATCCGATCCGGCATCACAGGCCCTCTCCATCTGGCATCCCCTTTCATCCCCAACTTTGGGGTCCCCTAGAAGGGGGTGGTTTTGGGGAGGAGGGCCCCAGGTGCGCAGCAGGGCTGGGGACGCAGGGGGTCCTGCTGGCAGGGCATGGGGGGACACACGCAGCCCTTGGTGTCCCCGCGGGGCGCGGCGCAGTAATCCAGCGGCTCCTCCTCGTCCTCACTGTCCCCTCCGTCCCCATCGGTGGTGTGGCAGCAGCACAGGCCGGCGCTGCGGCAGCGGCGCAGCACGCCGTGGAAGGAGTTGCGGAAGTTCTCGGAGAGCAATCCATAGAGGATGGGGTTGGCGCAGCTGTTGGAGTAGCTGAGCAGCAGCGAAGCGTTGTGTGCGCTGGCATCCAGGTGGCCGGGCAGCAGCAGCTCCAGCAGCTGCACCACGTAGAAGGGCAGCCAGCACACCACAAACATGGCCACCACGGTGACCACCAGGCGCGTCAGCTTGCCCTCGGAGCGCCGGCGCTGCTGCCAGCCCACGCCCTGCGCCACCACGCGCATCTTGCCGGCCAGCAGCAGGTAGCACAGCGCCATGGCCACCACGGGCAACACGAAGCCCAGCGCGCTGCTGTACACCACAAAGGCGGTGGCCCATGCCGGGCTGGGCCACAGCAGGTCGCAGGCCACCGCGTGGCCATCGCGGGTGACCGCCGTGCCGGCGAACACCGGGATGGGTGAGGCCACCAGCAGCGCCAGCAGCCAGACGCCGCCGTTGACCAGCTTGGCGACGCGCGGGCGGCGGTAGGAGGCGGCGCGCAGCGGGTGCACCACGGCGATGTAGCGGTCCAGGCTGAGCACGGTAAGGCAGAAGACGCTGCTGAACATGTTGAGGCCATCCATGCCCAGCACGGTCCGGCAGAGCGCGTGTCCGAAGGGCCAGCGCCGCAGCGCCACTGCCGTGGCCACGAAGGGCACGCTGAGCATGAAGAGCTCGTCGGCGATTGCCAGGTTGAGCAGGTAGATGTTGGTGGCCGTCTTCATCTTGGCATAGCGCAGGATGACGAAGATGACCAGCGCATTGCCCAGCAGCCCCAGCAGGCACACCAGGCCGTAGATGCACTGCAGCACCACCATGCCCGCGATCTCTGCCGCGCTCCCGCCGTGCTCCGGGGCGGCCGGGGGCCGGCCGGCCTCTCCCGCTGCTGCCGCCGCCGCCGCTGCCATGCTGCTGTTGGGGGGTGGCTCAGAGCTGGCCCAACTGGAGATGCTCCAGAGGGGGATTCCAGCTGCCAAGAGCTGCTCGGTGTTCGTGCTCATGGAGGAAGGTGATCCATGGACGGAAGAGCAGCGGCGATGGGGTCAACCTGTGGGCAGGGCACGGGGGTGAGGGCTGCGGAGCACAGAAATCCCAGTGGCTGCATTCCCCTAGGATTGGGAACCTCCATCCACCACCTCCTGACTCCCTCCATCAATCCCTTCTCTGCCTGGACACCTCCATGTCATTCCTCAGGCCAGAGCATCCCAGTTTTTTGGGATTTCAGAGGCTGTGGGGTGGGAATTAACCCTGCATGGGGCTCCTTAAACCAGCTGCGATGGCCCGGGAATCCCAACCTGTCCTGGGAATCAATCCCAACCTGGTCCAGTAATAAATCCCAGCCTGGCCCAGGAATTAATCCTAACCTGGCCTGTGAATCAATCCCAACTCGGCCTGGAATCAATCCCAATCCTGCCTGGGAATCAACGCCATCCACCTTAAAGAGCCCCTGCAAATCTCGAGGATTTCATTCACCATACCAAGGAGAAAGTCAGCAGGGAATATTTTACCTTTCAGTATTCCAGGGACTGAAGGAGCCTCACTACTTCCTGCCAGGGGAAAGAAGCCGCTGTGGGAAGATGCTCCGGTGGGATCCGTTGCCAACAGAAAGTCCTACTTGACCTGGATCAGATGACCGGGAAGATCCGGAGCTTTTAAAGCAAAAGACAAAGCAAGGATGGACACGCAGGATCTTTCCCCTCTCCTGCATCCCTGTGCCGCAGGCTTTCAGTGAAAAAATAAACGCGGCGCAACTTTCTGCTCCAGGATTTCCTCTGGAAAACAGCGCAGCGCCCTCCACCCTTCTCCCTCCGGGCTGCGCTGTTCTGCGGCTCCCGGCCTGAGCATTCCCGCTCCAGCGGCTCCTTCCCGGCTCTGCGGAGGGCGGGATCCGCAGCCCGCTTCTACCCCCGCATCCCAAATCCCGAATCCCAAATCCCGCGTCCTGAATCCCGCATCCCGAATCCCGCACCCCGCCGTCGCATCCCCCCGTGGCTCCGGGGAGAGGTAGGAGATGGAGAAGGAATGGTTGCCTTGGCAACGCATCCCTCATCCCGCATTCCTGCCGCGCATTCCCGCCTTCCCTGTGCTGGTTCCCAGCACTGCAGGGCCCCCGGATCCTTCCCGCTACAGCCACTTCCCTGCCGCACCGCATCCCAGGATTCCGGCTATGGACAGGTGAGGACCAGCCCGGCCTGGCCCTACATCCAAACCCACCAGGAATTCCACCCCATTTCACAGTCTGTGCTGGAAATGAGGGTGCAAGAAGTAAAAATGGAAGAAAATTCCGTCTTTTTTTTTTTTTTTTTTTTTTTTTTTTTTTTTTTTTTTTTTTTTTTTTTTTTTTTTTTTTTTTTTTTTTTTTTTTTTTTTTTTGTGTTTTTTTTTTTCTTTTTTTTTTGGATGAGAGGGATCCAGAGAATCTTATCCCTGGCACTAGCTCAGCCCAGGTCATGGAATCACAGGATCATGGAATCATGGAATCAAAGAGTAATGGCATCATGGAATAAAGGAATCACTGAAGTTGGAAAAGCCCTCTAAAATCATGGAATCCATTGTTAATCTAGCACTGACCCAGGTCTCCCAGTGTCACATCCAGGTGAATTTAAATTCCTCCTGCAATAAGGAGTCCACTACTGCCCTGGGAGAGAAATTTTCCTGATATCCAACCTAAACCTCCCCTGAGGCCATTCCCTTTTATCCCATCTTTTGTTCCCTGGGAGTATGGCCCGGTTCCCACTTAATTCCTGAGACAGACTTGTAGGGAATGAAATTCCTCCAGATCCTCCTTTTTTCCAACATTCCCTTCTCCCTCAGACCCTCCTTATCTGATTTATCCCAACCCTGGCCAGGAAATTATGGAGCAAACTTGCCTCAGTCATCCCAAAATCATAGCATTGGGAATTTTTGGGAATTTGGAGCTGGCCGAATGAGGTCATTTGGAGCCCTACTGCCAGGATGGGAATAGGGATAAAGATCCATATGGTAGCCCTGGGAATGGGCTTGGAAATCCTGGGAAAACAGGTGGATTTTCTCTTTGCTGCTTAAATCTATGACCGTGGTTAATGGTGCAGCTGGCACTGATCTCGCTGGGAATATCCAGGATCCAGGGAATACTGGCACCCCATCTCCATTCCCAATTCCATGGGCTGTTCCAGTGGGGTAAAAAGCAATGGATTCCCACTGTGCTGACACAGAAATTCCCGGGTGCCAGCCCAGGAGCTCTGGGCATTCCCATTGCAGCCAGAGACTGGAAAATATGGAATTAAACAATGGAAGAAGCCATAGATTCCATGGGGCCCCTTCACCTCCCAGAGCAACAGGAAACCTTTAAATGCTCCTTTACTGTAAAGGAGGAAACTCCGCCATGGATTTGAGCCACATAGCATTCCCAGAATTTCATGGAAAACTCTGGGTTGGGAGGAGCAGGAATAACCTTGGCTCCAGGGGGAGAATTCCAGGTTGTTGGAGTCTCGCTGTGGGATAAGGATGCCCTGATTAGGAAGTCTCAGCTTTCTTCCTATTTCAGGAGCATCCATGAAATCCTGGGATATGCCCAGTAAGAAGGGACCTGCAAAGAGCCCAACTCCTAAAAATCCTAGGATTCTCCTCAATCCCACCCTCAGGAGTTGCCCCGATACTACCCTTGGAGCCTGCTCTGATGCCGAGGGAAAAGCGGAATTTGCTCTGTGCATCCCAAGGAATGTGTGAATTTCGGGATCAGCAGTTCTGGGATTTTAAGATCCAGGGTTTGTAGGGAGCCTCTAAGTCAAGGAATTCCAGGGCAACCATACTGGGATTTAGTGGAATGTGCTTTTCCCGGTGTCCAAGGATATTGATCAGCTCTCCTTATCCTGAAGTCCAGTTAATTTTCCTCTTTATTCCTATTATCCCTGTTCAGGGATCCCTGTCCCGCTCCCTCACTGAGGCTGGATCCCAAATCCATGCCAGGGGCTTGGAAAAAGTGGGAAAAGTGGAGAAGAGCCTGTGGATGCTGGAAATTAATGAACCCCTGAATGGGGTGGAATTTTCCTGGAGGAATTCCCATTTAAAGGGTCCCTCTCCCCTTTTCCAGGTAAATCCCCTATGGAATCCCTTTTCCATGCCTTGGATATTCTCTGAGCCTCCAACATTTCGGAATCCATGAATTCCACACAATCCCAGAATATTTGGAAAGGATCCTAAAAGACATGATGTTCCAGCCCCACTTCCATGGGCTGCTTCCAAATTTCTCCGCCTCCTCCTCCCCACTAACGCCGCCCCCCCCTCCCCCCCCAACTCCTTCCCGAGTTTCCCGAGGAAAGCCCGAAACGTGGAGATTTGCTGCCCTCTCCTGGGAGCCGCCAAATCATGGGATTTGGGGTGCTTGGAAATGTTCGAGCCCTATGCTTTGGAATTTTTAAAAGCTGATTAAAATGTCCAAGGCATTCCCAGGAATAACAAGAACTGTGGGAACAGAATCCTTCCCAAATTCCAGAAAAAACAATTTTGAATCTTTTTTTCCCTCCTTAACCCTCCTTTCCCCCTCCTTAACCTCCTTACCTCAATGTTTTTGGGAATTGTGGAAAAACCTGGATTGGGAACAGGTTCTTGGACAAAATCTGACCTTGTCTCCCAGGAAAAAAACTTTGAAACTTCCCAAGCTTTTTCCTCTCTTTATTAGGAGCTTTCTGCTCCTTCCTAGAGGAAAAAATAAATAAGTTTTTTTTTGTTTTGTTTATTTTTTTATTATTATTTTGGTTTTGGTTTTTTGGGAAGTAAAGGAATTTCCAAAAATTCCTGTGCAGTTTATGGCTATATTGGAGAAAAATTTTGAGAGAATCCTGGGATGAATGATAAGGGAAAAAATAATTATCCACTTTAGGAATTGATAAAGTGAATATCCCCCAAAAATTCAGGAAGCCTGGAATTTTGATGATGTTTGGATCCTGGATGTCACTTTTGTGGATCCATGGCTGCTCTTCAGGGTGTTTTCCTGCTGTTTTCTCCATGGAAAACCTGGAAAATGTGTAAAGGCCTCCATTGCCTTTTCCCAGTGGGAGAGGAGGTGGTGTTATCCCGGCGGGAAGTGGAGCCGGAGGTCAGAGCCCCACTCCCGATGCCAGGTGGGAGCTGAGTTGTGTTTATCCAGTCTGGGATCCACAGTGGAGTTCCTTATTGCTGGCCTGGCGCTTTTCCCGGGAGCTGCTGGGCTCTGGCAGCCGCTGCCACATTCCAGGCCCTGCTCAATGCTCCTGTGTCTGCTCCTCCAAAAAATTCCCACTGGAATGGGGCATCGGGATGAAGGGATGGGGGACAACAGTGGTGGTGTCCCAAAGCTCAGGGATCCCAGGATTGTGGAGAGGAATAAGGAGTGGATCTGGCCCCACTTTGGGATGGGACTATGACCAAGGAATGCAGGGAAGCTCCAGGGGCTCTTTCCATTCCATGAATTACCCTTGTCCCTGCTCCAATCTGATCCCAACCTCAAGGATCAACAACTCCCAAGGAATTTAGGGATGATGAGGCAATTCCCTCTGGCTCTTTTCCATAAATCTGCTCAAAAAAATTCTCCCAGGTTTGGAGGGATGAAAAATCCTGATTCATATTGAAACAGCACCTGAAATTTGCCTGAATCCTGCTGGATTTGACAGCAATGGATGAGCTTGGATTTCGAACTTGGAAACTCCAAAGCAGCACTGGGAAGCAGATTCCATGGGAATTTGGGTTGGGTGTAAGGTGTGGTTCTCCTTGCCAGGAGCTCTATATTCCAAAACTGATGGGAAGGGGAAGAACTGGGAATACAAAATAGAGGGAAAACAGTGGAAGTTCCATATGAAATCCCTGAATATTCCCAAGTTTCTCCCTCTGTAGTTGTGGTGAATTTTTGGTGGACCCAGGACAGAGGGATGAATTATCCACCCTAAATCCAGGCTGACATCACCTTCCCACTCCCTCATTCCATAATAATTTTGGAGTGCTGGATCCAGAGGCTTTGCTGCTTCCTATGGGCTCCTGGAGGTTTTTCCAGCTTCCAGGCTGGAGGCATCAGGAATTTTATGGAAAGCCGGCTGGGGATGAATGGAGTCCAGAAATAGAAAAGCTGGAGCAGCTCTAGAGGGAGGAAATCAGGGAGCTTGGAAGCTTCCTGTGCTCCCAGAGTTGGGATTTGGACACTGGGATGGACTGGAACACCTGAAAATCTTGGATACACCCTCACTGGGAAGCTGTTCCTTCTTTTGATTCAGTTATTGATTTCTTTTCCCACTCAAATCCATGGATTCTCCCCTTTTCCAGCCATTCCTGCAGCCTGGATTGCTCCTGAGTGGAGGAGAGGCTTTTCCCAGGAATCCCAACTGCTCATCCCATGAGGAAACCCCTCCTGAGCTCCCCAAATTCTGGCACCACTGCCACCTCAAACTCATCTGCAAGCAGCTGAAAAAAACACTGGAAAGCATGGAAAAACTATTCCTTTTCCTGACAGCAGCTCCCAATTGTCTCCTTCCACAGCTTTTCTGCTTTTCCAGGAGTGATTGAGTGATTTTCCCTTAAATACAGCTTCTCCCACTTGGCTCTACCCCTGCACCAGCGGGGTGGGAAATAATTCCCTGGAATTCTTTCAGTGCAAACTGGGCTGGAGCAGCATTCCCAAGGGAATGTCCCAATCCCTTCCCAGAATCCCTGAGAATATCCTGGAGGGAGCCAGAAGTCCCTAAAAAAGCAGCGAATCCATTTTTTCTTAGTAGGGGTTGTTTCCTGTTCCTGGAGCACTAGGAAGGGCTGGATTTTAGGGATTGTATGATCCCAGCTCTGCCAAGGGGTCGGACTTTTCCATATATCAATTCTACGTTCAAATCCTTGTATCCCATGGCTGGGAATGTGCTGGGAATTGCTGCTGTGGATTCTTATAACAATGCAGGATCTGCTGGAAAATTTGAGAATGCCTACCTAAAGAGATATTAAAAAAACCTGGAATTTCAGGGGTGCTTGAATTCACTCAAGTGCAAGGA